TTTGTAAAATTTTCTCTTTTTTTTTAAGTCGGTCTGTGACCAAACATATTAATATCAATATTTCATAAATGACTTTATGTTTTGATTTTTGTAATATTGTCAATTAAAAGTGTGTGGGAAGGAGTATAAAATTTATTTGGAATTTCAGATTTACTGGTTTATCTGTAATATTTGAACAGTTTTTTACCATTATGAATGCCTTAAAAAGTCGGTCTGTGACCATGGAATCGCCCATTTCCAAAACCTAACTACAGCTGTCGTGGTCGTGCCATTTCTTCCGATGTATTAAAACCACTTCTTTGAATATCGCACAAAGAGGAAAAAGGTCCAACAGAACAAAGGCAAATTTGGATGTTGTCCAAAAATTCACAAAAGCCGCTCTCTCAACACCTATAATCGTGCATGGAATTCATATTACTTGGAGCCGATTATTAAGAGACCTTTGCATTACAAATCTATTCTGTTACAACTCAAATTGCTTTTAAGAATAAAGCAAAATTAGAAAGTAAAGCATAATTCAATGACCATACTTTTACCAAATTGTAGAATAGAAAAATGTTAGGGACTGAATCTAAGATTTTGCATTTGAAGATGAGCTTAATACCACTCCTTGATAAAAATGAAGAAAAACTTATAAAAACTACATTGCCCATTTAAATTTTGAACACGTTCTGTTTACATAGACAATGAGAAGTGTAAAACTTACTTATCAGACACTTGTGCATCAACTTCAGCCCCTGTTTCTGGGGAACCAGCGATGACTGCACTTTTAACTTTATTCACCGTATCCTTAGATGTACATCGGATTGGACAGGTATGCACACATGATCTGAGCGCCGGATGGGCTTTCAATGATGGAGTAAGTGAATTAAGGTTGAATAGTGGACCTCTGTGGATGATTTGCTGAAAGCGAGAAGCTAGGACTGAAATGATAAAGTAGGAACAAAATATTGTTATAAAACAGAACACAGGTAGAATTGTATTGGCTAACTCAAATAATTTATTGCAAAAATATTATACTGTATTTGAACAGTTTAATTTGGTTTCGATCAAACAGTTCTACAGTTACAAATATTATAGCTAATTTAAAATTATTCTAAAATATATATTGTAGCAGCATTTTGCACAGACGAAAGATAAGCACTTATAGTTAGAAGTCCTAAAAACACCCCTCTCAGAAAAACCTTGAAACACCCCTCCCAGGAAAACCTTGAAACATCCTTTCCAGAAAAACCTATAAACATCCCTTCTAGAAAAACCTAGAAACATCCCTTCCAGAAAAACATAGCTAAACAGATCTCCCAGAAAAACCTAGAAACACTTCTCCCAGAAAAACCTAGATATACCCCTCCCAGAAAAACTTAGAAACATCCCTCCCAGAAAACCTTGAAATATTTCTCCCAGAAAAACCTAGAAACATCTCTTCTAGAAACATCCCTCCCAGAGAAACCTTGAAACATCTCTTACAGAAAAACCTCGAAACACCCCTCCTAAAAAAACCTTGAAACATCTCTTCCAGAAAAACCTCTTAACCAAAAGTGTTTGCCCTACGACAAATTGTCTAAAAATAATATTAAACAGGTTTAAGCATTCGAGAACAAAGTCCACTACACATTAACATCCTTCAACGCTGCAACTGTATCCATTCATCACTGCCACGCTACTATGGCACACAGCTTGGCACTGTGACAAGTAAACGAAACGTGGACTTCGCAGCAACAAACGACAACTGAATGATAATAATACACTCCATACATTCTGACACATGCTTGTCATCAATCCTGGCTCCAGTCACTTAAAATGAATGTTGAGTTGCACATTTTCAATGATAACACTTTTTATGTATTGCACATCAGGTACCGTATCATGTTCATAGATATTCTGTACCTGACAGATGCTGACAACATGTTGTAGATACTATAGGCCTACTCATCAAATTCTACAGCACAGGGAATTTAAGCAACAGAAGCAACATATAGCAACATGGGATATGGAACTTTCATATAGAAAAAGATTTGTAGTGATTTATTTATTTGAAAAAACAAAAAATAACAAAACTATTACAGAAACAAGTAACAATTGTACTTGTTTACACTAGATAGAATGTACATGTCTATATAAAAAATGTGGAAATTATTTTTACATTTACACAGGTGCTATCTGTTTTGAGATAATATATTGTAGCAATAAATTTCAGAGGCAGATTCAAGAGGGTCCGGCCCAGCCCGAAACCTTAAAAATTGAACCTTTTAAAAATTGAAAGAAAAAAAGCAAAATTAATTTAACTAATTTTAAATAACATGAAAGTGCCATTTCCAGGCAACTATAGATGCCATAGTCATAAACGTTTGTTCCTCAGAGCACCCATGCTGAGGAGTAAAGGTCCTCCCTGGGCCCCCTCTATTTTGAATTCCTGGATCCACTACTGAATTTACTTTTTTATGATCTGCAATGTAGAAAAATCTGTCTCAATTGGAAGTTATTTTGATCAGTATACAATAATTTTACTACAGGCTTTTCATAACACCAGGGAAATAAACTCCTTAACAGGAAGAATTTAGAAGAACAACATATTGACGACCTCTTCAACTAAAATGGGCTGTGCAAGGACAGTATGAACTTGTAATGAATCTACAGTTTTTAATTCCTTAATACTCTGTATTGTCAACATTTACTTAAGGTACATAATAGTCTAGTTTTGAAAACAAACCAATATTGTTCATGTTGGACAACACCACCTCCTTATGTCTTGAAGCATAAAAGTTTTTCCGGGTTTCTTGTGGTGTAAAATATTCAAGCAAACTAAATACCAACCTAGGGTCACCTGATACAGATTTACGAGCCAAAACAACTCTTAAATATCAGCTAAAATTTGATAGTTAAAGTGGTGTGTCCACACCAGGGTACAGCTAACAGTCATTATCGCTGTCCGAGGTAATAGGTCAGGCACATTATCATAGCCAATCACAGGACAGAAATCTGATATTTATATTTTCTAATAGAGAAACAGTTAAATTATTGTAGGCTCTGCATTAATTAATAACTGTAGGATTGTCACTTTAACATGCATGGGTCAACTGCAACACATCCTGCTATATTTACTACACCTCCTTTAATTCACAATCGAATTTGGACTGTACTTTAATCTTTAGAGCTTTAGTTAAGTACTAAACTTTTTTGTGGTCTTTGTGTGCACAAAAGTTTTACTAGAAAAGAATCCTTTATATTAAAGTCCGTAGAGTGGAAGTCGTTTTCTCACCTTCTTATCGGGATTTTTAAGAGATTAGGTGCAGCTGCAAAAGGATTGGATAACTTGTGATTTCACCAATATAATTGAAAGTTTTGCTGAAGTCTGGTGCAAATTACACCATGAAATCATATTCATTGTTTGCTACTGTACAGAACATAATAATCCTTTCTACTTCCGTGATTTCTGTAACAAATCTGCTTTTTAAATTTTTCAAGTGACATTAAGGGTTTTATAGGAACACTTTTATCACCAAAATAACCTCTTCTTCGTTGGTTTGCCATGCACAGGGCCATGGTCCCAACATTCGTGGCTTGAAATCATTGTCCTACCATGTGGAAGAACGATTATTTTAATCGAATAAGTTTCCTTGTACTTTCTGTGCTTTTATTTTCGAGTCTATACATATATGGCTTAATATCTTGGTCCTGACAATTTGCATGGTTTAATATCATGGTCCTAACATGCATGACTTGATCTTGCTCAACTAACATTCATGGCTTTAAATCATGGTCGCAACATGTATGACTTGAAATAATGGTCCTAATTCATGACTTGATATCATGGTCCTCTACAAAGCATCTACATGCATACTGAAGGAATAACTACTTTTTTGGCTTCATTTTTTTAAATATATTTTTTTAAAATACTGTAATTGAGATATCTACAAAATTAGGGCAGTGAATAATCTGGGGTGTAGCCAGCATGTCTATGTGTAGGAGGATGACACACTCCCTGGCCAGATCATATTCACCTACGCTTCACACAGCAAGTGACCCCAAACTCTTCCTGGCTAGATCGTATTTACCTACGCCTCTGAAAACCAGTTACCCCACACTATTCCTGGCCAGCTTATACTCATCTACTGATAGCAAGCGATCACTCACATTTCCTGGCTGGGACGTACTCATCTATACTGCAGCAACCCCAAACTCTCTGGTTGGCTTGCATTTCTGAGCTAAATAATGTAGATTGATTCTTCTATGCTCTTGTTTTTCCATAATGAAATACTTTATCTTTTATTAGATTTTATTATTTTTAAGGCGTGCAACAAGACACTTCTGTATGCACATGTTAGGGAAAATAAAACCACAGCCGTACAGTACAGTGTGTATAAATAAACAAAATAACTTTCTGCTAATAACATGAAGGCCCTCCTAATGTTTTAGGATGTTTAGCTGATTTCAATGGGCCCGTCCATGCTTGTTATTACCTGGTAAATGTTAGCGGGGTTATTGAAAAAACACCTGGCCGAAATGCTGTCCAGACAACCCACTAAACTTAACAACAAAAAATTGCCTGAGGCTAATCCTCGTGACCTCAGTGATGACATTATGACTTATAGGCCTACAAGCCCAACTGAGGGATGTCCAAAATACCTCTTATGCTTCGAGTACGATGATAAGCGTAATCCCGGGCACTATTCCCCTCTTTTCTCTCAAATCTCTGAAATCGACAAACATGTGCATTGCTCCTACGCTGCAAAATTGTAACTTTACTTTATTTTTATTATTTCGGATTTATTTTCCAAACAACAATTAACTGAAACAACACATGGACCCATTAAAGATTATAGTTATCAAAGTTATGCATTTTGAGTATGTATCTAATGCTGATAAAGTTCATGTAAGGAGTCATTTGATATATGATCATCATACAAATCTTGGTTGAGGAAGGCCAGGCTTGATAAACATACTAACGATGTTTACAGACCACTTTCAGCATGATTTTGAAAACATCAACAAGAACAATCCCATAACCTCTTTCCAAACAGTCACAATAAAACAAAAAATGACATCATTCTTTAATATCATAATTTTATAAGAAATAAACAAAATAGATTGCATATGGAGCAGAAGCATTAACTTACTATTTTTATTATTTATCCTTCTCTTATTTAGATTCAATTAGAATATTTAAAAAGTGCTTATTATTTTTAAAATTTAATAATACATCTAAGAACTTGCTTGATTCAAAAAAGGAGGCACAAGAGGTTGTGGTACAAGGCAACAGTAGGCACAAGAGGCTGTGGTACAAGGCAACACAGTAGAAGACAGAATGAATATTAAGGACTGAACATTCCTAGAAATCTGTAAAATGAATTTAAAAAAATAAGGAGTATTTCTGTGTTAAAAGTGTCAACATCCCTGCAATGGATTACACAGTAAAGTTTTCAGAATGTACAGTATCCACACAAAAACAAACTCAACAATGTGGAGCATAAGGATACAGTATTTTCAAAAGGTACATTAAACTAAAGCAACATGACACAAGAAGATACGGTGCAAGGTGACAAGGTACAAAAAGTATAATACTGTAGAACTGTCTATACTATTTTCAATAATTTTGATAACCTGAAAAAGTAATGTTCTCTCCTATTGACTATGAACCATCTAGGGCACCCAATAGGCATGCTGGATTACTTTTCCCGCCACAAACCACAATTTTTAAAACTTTTTTTACTAAATATTTCTTCTACAAAATTGAGAATATACAGTACAGTATGCACATTTTGTCTATTTCCTCATTTAACAGATAAACATTTGTTGTTAGTGTGGCATCGTCAAAGCCCAGATGCTGGCCTAACAATAGATTACTGCTTAAAATGTTAAGAATCAAGATATCATTTCATAACTGAAGGAACAGACCTATTTCTGATTCATTTTTTGGGGGTGG